TTCCGCAAAATAAATACGAGGACCTATTTCTCCCTTTGAATCGACCACTTTGTGGCATCACTACGAACACACATTCACCATGAAGTTGTAACACATAATGATTGATGACGAAATTGATTGGGTCCCAACAGAAGAGCCACATTATTTAGGTTGCAAATAAACAGGGCGTCGTTCATGTGATGCGTTTACTTCCACGTTCGAATGTGTTGAGAATGAGTAGCCGAAAAGCGCAGTCTGCGGGCTACTTCCCGGAGTTGCCTGATATTTCCCCAACTCGGGAAAGGGGGGGAGAAAGGGGTGGATGCTGTTTGAAGGTGATAATATTTATTCTCACTCAAGAGAGTCGCCGGTCGTTAAAACGTCGACTCGCTGATAACGGGAAAGCCTGTGGGGCTCCATCTATAGTAACCATGAGTAAAAGGTGGTATACACCTATGTCACTGAGAAATTATGATCGTGCAAACGATGGGCCGTTGTGGATACAGGTGAAGCAAAGACCTATCTTACGATTGTGCCGTCCTCATTAGAAGCAAGAATTACGGTTTGCTTCTTCAACCCCTCCTGACGCCAATCTTTCCAATTTTGAATAAATCCGGGACAGCGCTGATCGCGCAAGCCCGCGCCAATATTTAAAGGTCTTTATCAAGTTATAAAACAGTCATCAAGCAGACGTAAGGAGGAATAAATACGCAAAAGAGTCCAAAATGGGATTAACAACCTATGAGAGGAGATGTGTTTCAAACAGTAATGAAGAGATTAGGGAAAGCCACTTGATTTATAAGTTTCGGAAATAAATGTATTATCGACGACCTGAACCCTTTATTGTGCAAGCCAATCCGTGTGCAGACACGGGAATGGTTCCAGCAGCCGCGCGATGCCAGAAAGCGGCTGCTGGAACGAACCCAGCATACCACGACCCCTCGATCTCCACCGACCGAGTGGTCGCGCTGGCTTCCTCAATCCTGCGGATTGCATGTGCCCGCGTCAACGAGGGAAGACACCTGGATGTCTCAAGGTCGTTGTGGCGCTCGCAGCTAGCCGCTCGTCTCGCGCTTTTTGAGGATTATCCCTACAGAAAAAGCCGACACAAAAGAAGCCTCTGCCGTCACGTGATTTTTGGGAGAGGGTGAAAAGAGGAGGGCGCGAGGGGCATTTTCCTACCTTGCGGAAAATGGTTTCGTTGGTCGGTCTTTAAGCTCAATTCCTCAAAAATATTGCTTCGTTATAATCCATACATCAAAGTCGCAGAGTTACAGTTGCACCACAGTGGGTATATCTTATACCAGTGCCACACGGGCAACTCGAATGCCATTTACAACGAATGACATTTGAGTGATCGGTGAATCAGCTCGCATTCTGCCGCGCGTGGAATGCGCCACGCCCGGAGTGTCGCGCGCTGACTGGCCGTCCGCTCGAATGTCATTCGTTATAAATGGCATTCGAGTTGCCCGTGTGGCACGGGTATTATTCAATGCTCACTTATCCCACATGCTTGGCTTTGGTCAGAAAAGCGTGTACACTTTTTCCTTGTGGCAGACCGTGAAGTTATATTATCTCCCAGCAATTACATTTTTACCTATTGTGACATCATAGAAGCATAGCACGTAGGCGACGTGAAAGCTCCTCTCTTGAGAGGCGTTCCGTTCATAACAAAACGAAACGAAATGATAACATATTCTTTCAATCTGCCACAACATAAGAAGGTTGTCGTAAAAGAAGTTAGCACCATTTGTCGCCAGCTTCTTGGCGAGAGAGGAAGCTACATCCCATTTCTGGACGGATCGGGTCGCGTTGCAGCCACTCTTCATTTTAGAAAATGCACGTGAAGTCCCCACCGTGTTGTTTAGAACATTTCTCGGGTTCCGGAGAAAGACCGCTCACGCATTTTGTGACCGGAACCCCTGTTCCAAGTTGGGAACGGACTGCTGTCGTACATTCATCAGAGGCTATCGCCAGTGTTTACAAAATGGGTGGCCCGTTACCTGGGTCGAAAACTAGTGTCCACGGGTAGGGATATCGCAGAGCGAATGAGGCAGGGTTCCTCGCTAAAGGACGCCGTAAAGAAGGGAATTGGGCGTACGTATCGAAGCACCAGAAACGAGTTCCTCCGAAAGCTGCATTCTGGCGGAAGGCATGAAAGAAAGGCGTCCACCCAGGCTTGTTCAGTTTCTGGACGGAAAAATAAACGAAAGGTCGTGCATGACTTTTTTGGTACCTAAAAAAAAAAAATACCGGCGGTAGTTTTATCTTGTACGAGCGTTCCTGTCTTTGCACCAGCGGAGAGCTCGATCTGTTCTCTCTTCCGCCTACGTCTTTTGCTTTGGAAAAGTCTGAATATATCAAATTCTTTCCGGTCGCCACAATACCCCCTTCCATCTTAAAATTTCACGTTCCCTCTAGGACCTCACTTCTACGATCTGAAATCAAGCTTCCTGCACATCCAGACAAAAATCGTGCGAGCCAATGGCGATCCCGCGAGCACCACCGCGTTGGACGGAACTGTCATGCACGATAAGATCATACCGGTTCAGGCATTTGGAAACTCCCTTTATCACTACTTACATGTCTATCTGAATCAGACTTTGGTGAGCCAGTACGAGAATTATGCTTATCGTTCCTATCTCGATATCCTCCTGCACGCAAAACAGGTCAGTAGGGATCACTCTCTTTCTGCGATGTTTTACGAAAAAGACCCGGTAAATACGTCTGAAAAGCTCGACATTCCCGCCCATGGTAAGGGCCATCGAGTTTTAAAAGAACCGAAGGAAGTACGCTCCGTGATTTGTTCTGTCCTCTAATGAGTGACATATGTCACCAGGACAAAGCTTCTCCTGTACGGGGTGGATATTCGCATCGTGCTGCGGCAAAATACCGAAGATTTCAGACTCTTGGCCGGCTTCGACGGTTCGCCAGAAACACGTCGTCCAACTTCCTCACATTGTGCTCTACATTTGACGCGTGCAAGTTGCCCCGACGGTGCTTCTGGGCATCGAAAGACGTCTGCAGTGCTCTCCCGCGACTTGTCTACTACGTGGAGTGGAGATCAAGACCAGAACCGTTTCTCCCGGTGTGTCGCACATTGTCCTCGACAATCTGTATCCACATCGAGTGCCGTCAAAGCTCCTCGTCACTTTCGTGAAGAGTGGGGCGTCAAGCTCAAACACTTCAGCTTGAAAACGGCGGTCCTGGACGTGGGCGGATCTCAGCAGACGGTGCAGTTTGATTTGGCTCAAGATCTGTACATGAAGGCCTAAATGAGCTTCCAACACCGTCCCAATCGAAGAGACGTCCCCTAGTCTAAAGGTGCCTTCTCGAAAGACTCCTTTCTTCTTTACTACATATTGACTCCGGACAGAGGAGAGCAGAGTCTTTGTCTAATCTCCACGGCGAACGTGAGACTCACTTTGACCTTCAAGCGAGATCTAACTAAAGCCATCACCATTCTCGTTATGTCAGAAACGCGTCGCGTTTTGGAAATTGACAAGGAAAGAAACGTCAAGTTTGCCGGTTGAAATGGAAGAACACGAATTTTACCCAATGTTCGCGGGAAATAATTGCACGCGTTGTTGGGACCGAGGGGGTTCTCCGGGTAGCGTCACGCAGGGCCAGGCCAGGAAAGGAGCAGCGGGCAGACTCCCGTCCAGGAACATGACGAGACGAGAGGGTCTCTCGCAACGAAACTTTGTTTAATACATATGTACAAAGTATTTACAACGTCCGAGAGCACAGATGCCCCTTTTATAGGGTCGCTCTTCGGTACTCTCGCGGCTGGCAGCCAATGGTGGCCGAGCTGCCAACAAATCATGTTCAGGCCCCGCCTCCACTCATCCCTTGAGCACGCACACACCCACATGCACACACTGCAGCTGTGGCCGGACTTTACACTCCGGCGCCGAGGCACCCTTGCCCTCGAAAGCTGCGCCGAGGAGGCGACAGAAAGGGGTCCAGTGTTTGCCCGGGTGACGACGTTGGCCGTGGTAGTGGCCAACGTCGTTGAGACGGCGTTGAGGCACGGGAAAGGGCTTGGCCGGATCATCCGCAGGTGGCGTCCGGGGATAATCCCACCCTCACGGAGGTCCCGCAGCTGGCGCGTCGTTACCCGAAATCCTGGCCCGGTAATCCTCCCGGTTCTTGAGTCGGCTGACCCCGTTTCGGACCAGCGTTAGCACAGCCAGAAAGAAGGGTCCGGCTTAGCTCCGCGCCTAGGTGGGGCGACGCCAACACGGTGGTCCCACGGCACCCCCTTGTCGCCTCTCGCCTCGTTTCCGGGCAAGCCGACCGGAGCCATGTGGCGATGCTACTCAATGAGTTCACCGTTGCCGGACGGATTAGATAGGGAGGGTCTGGTCCGGGGCTTTTCCGTTTTCACAACAGCTCCTCCGCCGCTGGGAAGAGTGTCTTGAAGGGGAGCAGTCCACACTGGTCCCTTGAAAGACGCGGTCTCACGGCAAGGCTGGCGACTGAGGTCCAGGCTGGAGTCAACTCTGGAAAGTGACAGTAACGCAACCCACAACACCGAACCAGACTCCGCGCAGCCGAGCGCCCAGCCCTCCATACCTTCAATCCGCCAGACCACTCTCAAACAACAAAAAAAAATGTCACTTGAAAGTTCCGTGCTATTCTATCAACGAAAGACACACAGAAACTTATTTCCTACGACAGGTTGCTTTAGCGAAAGAAACTTTTGTAGACCAATAAAAGCCCTCTAACGCTCAACCCAAAATAAAACGGACTCCCGTGAAAACAAAACCACATTACAAACCGGAACGTAACTCACATAGGGTATATCCCTATTAAATTTGATCACGTCCTCCGTAAAGCAATCTCTACTGAGGAGAAGACCGCTTTAAAGGAACAACGCTAACACAACAAGCTAAAGCCCAACGAAATGCAAAACTCGGACTCCCGAAAGAAGAAAAGGTAATAAAGTTGCCGAATAACCTAGTCGACTCAATAGCACTTAAAGAACCACCTTTTCCCTCGAAAGTCCTTCTTTGTATCTAACCCACGCCCTGTTTGTTCTTGGCATCACTCGGACTGTTCAAGTTCTTCTCCTTGGACTTGCGTGCAGGCTCGAAGTTGCAGTCTCGGAGATCTCCCTTAGTCTCCGCGTCCGACGTGACGCCAGGCTGAACCACAGGCGATGAGCTGTGACTCCGTCTGGAACCTCGCCGAGTCGTTCCAGGCTCGTTGTTGCCTCGTCCAGGCTGCTTGCTCATACTTGAGCTGTGGGTCCATGGCTCGTTGGGACGAGGGTCTCGGAGTCTTCCCCCTCCCAGCCTCGAGGACCGCTTTTTCTTCTTGAAGGGGCGCTCGTCGCGCTTTCCTTGGCGCTCTTCGCAGGAAGCGTTGCTGCTAGAGCGTACAACGCTGATTCGGCGCCGCCTCTTCCTCTTGCGTCTCGGTCGCTGGATCATGACGGCCTCCAAGTTCTCGGTGGCGGATCCCCCATGCCGCGAGCACGACGACGTCCTTAGAGGCACCTGCGTCGGGTCTATTTGGTCCCGCCCGGGCTCCATCGTGACTCCGGAGGGTCCCTTTCCCGCGCAGCCACCGCCGGTTGCAGGTCCCCTGGGATGGCCGGCTTGGGGTCTCCCGTCCTCCAACCCTGATGACGACTCGCTGCCGGACGCGCACTCGTCGTCCTCCCTGCACCTGGACTCCGTGAAGGACCTGGAGTACGGGTTCCCCAACCACACCAGGCAGGTGTGGTTGATCTCGTCGAAGGAAATCTCAACCACCTCCCTCCTGGTGGGCCGCTTGGACTCCTGCGATGGCGCCGTGGGCTTGTCCTCAAAGCCGCACGCGTGCCGATCAGAGCGGTCAGGATCCTGGCTTGATTGCTGGGCCGCTCTCCCCGGCATCTCGGCGCTGCTCTCCATGAGCTGGCTGGACTCCCCCGGCGTCGTCTCTGTCTTGGCGTCGCCTTCATCCTCCAGGAAGTCGCAGCTGGACGCCCGAAGAGCCTTCTCTTCCTTTCCGTGATCCCGATCACTCTCAGCTTCCCGCAGCTCGGCTGTTGGGTAGATCTTGTGCGGAACGGCGTCGGTCTTCCGTGGAACAGCGTCGGTCGCGTCGGAGGAAACATGCTGGTTTGCGGTCACCTCGGTGACCCCAGCTTCCATTTTCCTCTTTTCCTGACACACCACTTCTGTTGCTGCTTCCACGTCACTCTCACCGTCCCGCCGCTCGGAGTTCGGGTCGGGCTTGCGAAGAACGGTGACGGCCGTGTCGGGAGAAAGACGCTGGTCTCCGGTCATCTCAGTGTCCCCAGCTCCCACTTTCTCCTTTCCCTGACACGCCTTTCCTGTCACCCCTTCAACGCCTGGTGTTTGCCGACGAAGACACTCAACCTCCCGCGCTTTTTTCGCGAGCTCTAGCTGCTCGAACTCGTAGTCGAGCCGCTCCATTTCGCGCTTGTACTCGCTCTTCTCGAGCTCCCATCTCGCCGTCTTGAGAGCCTTCTCGTCGGCCCGCTTTCTGCGTTCCTCTTCGCGAACCTCCTGTTCTCTTTCGCGAGCCTCCTGTTCCCTGCCGCGAATTTCCTCCAAAGCCTCTGTAAACTCCTCAACGCTGACGTCTTCGGCCTGAAGGAGTTTTATGATGTGCGGCTTCCTTTTTCTCTGCCCCAAATCTATTCCTAATTCTGTACAGACCTGTACCAAGTCGTACCAGCGGAATGCCTCCAAACTCATGATCTAGCTGTGTTGGCTCTCTTTCTTACAAAATGCTTGCGTCAGAACGGTCACACAGTCCTTCTGACAACGACTATCTCCAACCCCCACAGGCAAAACTTAGAGCTAATGGGTCTGGCAGATTGAGAAAGAGAGGGCCGGGCACTCACCCACACAAGAGGTCATGGTCCGGCGAAGTCGATCCCGCCGCTGCCATCCAGTTGTTGGGACCGAGGGGGTTCTCCAGGTAGCGTCACGCAGGGCCAGGCCAGGAAAGGAGTAGCGGGCAGACTCCCGTCAAGGAACATGACGAGACGGGAGGGTCTCTCGCAACGAAACTTTGTTTAATACATATGTACAAAGTATCAACAACGTCCGAAAGCACAGATGCGACATTCTGTTTGCCCCTTTTATAGGGTCGCTCTTCGGTACTCTCGCGGCTGGCAGCTAATGGTGGCCGAGCTGCCAACAAATCATGTTCAGGCCCCGCCTCCACTCATCCCCTGAGCACGCACACACCCGCATGCACACACTGCAGCTGTGGCCGGACTTTACACTCCGGCGCCGAGGCACCCTTGCCCTCGAAAGCTGCGCCGAGGAGGCGACAGAAAGGGGTCCAGTGTTTGCCCGGGTGACGACGTTGGCCGTGGTAGTGCTGACCCCTCCATCAGACGGCGTTGAGGCACGGGAAAGGACTTGGCCGGATCATCCGCAGGTGGCGTCCGGGGATAATCCCACCCTCACGGAGGTCCCGCAGCTGGCGCGTCGTTACCCGGAATCCTGGCCCGGTAATCCTCCCGGTTCTTGAGTCGGCTGACCCCGTTTGGGACCAGCGTTAGCACACCTAGAAAGAAGGGTCCGGCTTAGCTCCGGGCCTAGGTGGGGCGACGGCAACACGGTGGTCCCACGGCACCCCCTTGTCGCCTCTCGCCTCGTTTCCGGGGAAGCCGACCGGAGCCTTGTGGCGATGCTACTCAATGAGTTCACCGTTGCCGGACGGATTAGATAGGGAGGGTCTGGTCCGGGGCTTTTCCGTTTTCACAACAGCGTCCCTGGTACCGTGGCACGTTCGCGCGCGACGAGATTGGTCAAGAGCAGACATGTACACGTTACCCAAAAAAGTAACTAAATACCGTTACTCGTTACTCGCTCAAAAAGTAACTAAGTACGTTACTCGTTACCGATTCTCAAAAGGAACGCGTTGCTTTACCTCAAAAGTAACGAGTTACTTTTCACGTTACTTTAACGACCAAATACAGAACTGTTTTTGCTTTATGGTTTTTTGCTCTCTTTTTAGTAGTCGTTTTACTGAAGGAGTAGCTGCCTCTCAAAAGCTTTTATCAATTATGATTCCCCTCTTCCTTGAAAATGCACCTCCGCCGACGCTGAAGAGTCGTTCTACCGACGCGCTCGAAGGAACGCCAGTGTTGTGCTTCAAGAAGTGCTGGTGAATCTTTGGGAACTACGCCTTCATTGAGGACAGCGTATAATGGGTTATTTGCCTTCCTGCTTTGGCAACCTCCGGGTTTACATCCGGTCCGTACCCGGTTCTAGAAGGTTCAACCAACGAACCTTAGTGTGCTCGCTGAGTAAAGGACATTCCCAGCTGTAGAGTTCAGTACACCACGTTAATCGCTGGACACTTCAGTCAAACTGTTCGACTGACGTGTTCAGCAACATACGTTGCTGTATGTCATACTGTTTAGTTGTTTTTCGGGTTGCCCATCTGCCTTTGTCGCAATAGAGGCATACTCAGGCTAGAATAAAAACAAGTTCGTTTAAGCGGTGCTGAACACGTTACTCCTCAAAAGTAACGAGATGCCGTTACTCGTTACTTGGCCTTAAAGTAACTGAATACGTTACTCATTCCTTTTGTAAAAAATTAACTAAATACGCTACTCGTTACCAAAGATAGTAACTACGTAGAAGTAACTCGTTACTTGTAACGCGTTACGTACGTGTCTGGTCAAGAGACAGCGTCACCCGGTCTTTGCGTAGTGAATACGGTACCAAGGTCTTCGTTTGGTGAACAGTGAGTTCTTTTCAACTAATTGCGTTGCCCAAAGGACAACGCAACTAGTTATTCTGAGAGTTTCGGAATGATTCCGATTCACGAGGAATTTTACGACTTCATTGGAGGCGCAGCGAGTTTCTTCTACAACAAGAAAATAACTCAAGGGACTCTGGCGCACACGTGCGGACTTTACTGTCTATGCGTCGGTGCGCTCCTGTGTTGCGGTGTACCACTCCGCGAGTGCATTCAAACCTTCTCGTCGAGCAATTACCGACGGAACGACCGACACATTTCCATACTCGTGCGCAAGCAATTTCCTTCTCCCGCTTTAAAGCTCTCCTGCTGCTCCGCCCTGTAACCTGATTATGAAATAAAGCCACAAAAAGGACACAAAGCGAGGATCATCTTTTTCTATTTTATTCAATATGCATATATCTAAGATATTCTCAAAACATGGAGAAACAGATGGCGAGCGCTCGACAGCTCTTTATACAAATATCAAACACTCGGTGAAAAAAAACCTCGCGCTACATGAAAATGGCTCTTTACACAACCCTCTGTGTGCACAATTACACAGTCTGAAATGAAAAAAAAAAAACACTTCACAAAAGGCTCCAATGTCCGAAAGGACGAGTTGAAACGCCGCCATCGTCGATGAACCGCTTTTTGTCAAACGGGTTCAGTCCTATTTTCTCAACGACAACAGTCTTGTTCTCGCACAACTTGCTAGCTTTAGTCCGCTGCGTGATCTTGTGCAGTTTGTTGCCCGAGAGTTTGAACGTAGAGCTCGTACGCTAGCTTACGGGACTCGCACCGCTTCACTCCTTTCGCCCTCACGTAGTGCTCTCTAGAGGCTGGATCGATCGAATTGAGCTTTGGTTTTAAACAAACAAATCCAAGAATGTGATCTTTTGGGAATTCGTTTTTGAACACTCCTAGTTTCATTTTGTTTGCGGAGGAGAACAAGGGATGATCGGCTGCGTAACCAGAAGTATCCAGGTGAGTTTCGGCAAGGGTCGCGAGCTTCGAGTCTACATCCGGGTCGATGAGTTGAGGGATGAACGAGTCCGTGTCGCTATACGCTGCGCGAGCGTCGGGCAAAACGGGCCTGACCTGCTTGTAGAAAAGTGCGTACATGACCAGTTTGGACATCTCTAGGATAAAGAATTCGGCGTACAAGCGTTTGTTCAAGTGTAGGGTTCTTTCAGAAAACTATAAGGTCACCACGGTCGGGCTGATTGCAGCAAACTGTCTGAGATTAGGCTTCTGCAGGTTTTCCAGCACTCCGTCCTCGCTCACGCTAATGGCAACGTTATTGTACTGACGTACGTTTTCGATAGTCTTGCCATACATTTAATTCATAAAGAGCTTAGATAAGTTCTTTTGAAAAACATTTGTTGCCTGTTTTTGGAGATTGTGGTTACAGTCGATTAAATCTTTTAGGAGTGCACTCTGCGAAAACATCAAAATGCGATGAATGACCTTTAGTTGTAAGCCCAACTCCAGATAGAGCTTAAAATTTCGGTAGTGAATGATGTAATTTCGTTTCGCATGAAAGGTGAGAAGCAGCTTTCGCTCAGACTCTCGCTAGGACAGCTGAAATTTTTCGACGAGCGCTTTTTGATACGGTGACAGCCGTTCGAGCGGGACTCCTCGTTCCTCAGGAGCCAGGGGAAAGTCCGCGTGCGAATCGTGTAGTTCCTGAGGGTAGTCGAGTTCCACCTCTAAAATGTAACCCTCGGGCGCGTCTTCAGGAAAATGCTGGAAGTGGAAAGCGTCGATTTCCTCGCGGTCTAGCTACCGAAAATCTGCGCATGGAAGGGCTTGCCGCATGGTGGAAGCGTACAGGCCGTTCACGTCGAGGTCTAAAATGTGAGAAACCTCCGTGTCGGGATCGGAACATGCGGTTCCTAACACGTTAGCCCTCGTGTTACGAATGGCACATTGAACGATTCCTTCTCGCAGACCCGCTTCGATGAAGAGATACGCATCCACGTCGTCGAGCAGCTCCAGTTTTACCCCAGTCTGTTTAAGTGCGCAGGCGAGACTGAGCGAGGGGAGGGAAACGTGGTGGAACGGATGAATCTCGTACGTGCCTAAAGTCGATTTCCTGAAATTTTGGAACACGTCGACGAGAAGTCGGCAGTCGAGTTGCAGGTAGCAGTCATTGTATTTTCCTAGATTTTTTTAAATTGAATGTGTGAAAGACGGTTTGGGCGTGACGGTAGTTCTCCTCTGAAATTTGGCTGTCGTTAAGCTTGTTGTAAAACGACTCGCGTGGTAGTAGCCCGGGCTCCTGGTAAGCCTCAAAGCTGGACACCTAGTCGTATGGAAATACGCCTTTCCGCGCCAGAGGGTCGACGTGCTGCGGAAAAGCCTGCTTTAAGCAGCACAGGTTTTCTAGGCCTTTGGAACGGAGGTCCTGAACCAGAGCGTCCAAGCTGGCGGGGAGAAAGGCCAGACTGTCGAGAAACCGCAGGTTACCGACGTCGAGTCTCTTAAATTGGTGGCAGCTAGTGGCGAGCACTTCAATATCTTTAGACTCGAATAAGTCGAGTTTCGGTAAAATGAATGCCAGGTTATACGAATGGTTGTGCGCGAGCACTGGATTGACTTTCTTGTTTACTCTCAGATTTAAATTGCATCCCTGACATAACGACTGCCTGTACGATCCGATGAAGTGATCTTGATCTCTGACTTTTCTCTTTCGATTTCCGAACGATTCGCCACAAATCGCACAGTTAGAGGCCGACGCATGAGCCTCTTCGTCCACGCTCACCATTGGCACTTCCTCACTTCGAATCCATTTGTCAATGAGCTTCGACAATTGATTAAGGATAAAAATTAACTTTTCTACGCAGTCCTCGTCCCGGTACAAAAACTGCTCGACGATGCGCGAGTCCGTGGATCGGATTACGAGTATGCAAAACGAACTGGGGACGTGCTTCTCATAAGCCGCTTCCAGAATGGCCTCGAAATTGTAGACGCAAAGCTAGGGAAAAGGTTC